CGAAATGGAAGTAAGCTCAACAATTATGAAACAAGAGATTCCTCGAAACCCAACTTTTATTCGCATATGTAACTAATTATGCCTAAAATATTCTCATGACTTTGATCGAATTAAAAGCTATCAACTTTTTGACTGGAGTTTTGGAACTTTTTGTTTGCCTTATTTTTTCGCCTAATATATTAGCATCAGGCTAGTGATGGACTCGCTCAGAACAAATTTTCTAGAGGGGCGACTTAAAAAGTTATGTAGAAAAATTGGGTTTCAAGAGTCCCTTAATAGATTGATTTTGGATTAGCTTTAATTTTGTTTGTAGAGACAAGTGGGAGGGATTCGTAAGTTGGCCTCACCCGAAGCTGAAGCAGTATTGCCTCGGAGCTGTGAATATAGGCTTGTGTGAATAGATCCTCGACGCACCACCCTGCTACCCCGATGAATCCTCGCTGAGCTTTCGTCCTTCATGTGAGGTATGTCGTCAGGGCAGGACACCAAGACTTGCGAAGATACACCAAAACAAGGAGAGCTAGCAGGAGCAGGACAACCATCCTAAAATATCCGTTTCACTTGCGCAAAATGTCAAATACTCTTCTGATGATTATTTGAAACAAAACGAAGATTTCCATTAGATTTTTTCCAAGGTTCCCTTTGCTTAAGTTTATAATGCCCTCACTCGATATAATTATTTGCTTGTAACCGCTAAATATAAATATTTATAATAATTATTAAGTATAATCAACTAAAAGATATGGTAAACTTTCGTATCTAAGAGGTGGGTTGACCTCGTTGTTGCAACTTGGTTTTGTTGTCAGGGCGACTTAGTAGAACGCACCTAATCCGAAGCCGTCTGCCATAGTAGTTGTCATGATTCCCATCATCAGACAGTTGACTTGGTACCTTCACAAACGTTTCTCAGGCATCGTAGTCGGCATCATCAGTGAGCTTTCTCCGCACCAAACTATGAACTCGTCAAAGAGACAAGTGAAGTCATTACCTCGACAAACGTTCTGCCGAATACGGTTACACTATCACTCCTCTTTCTGACATTGCCTATCTATCTACCCTTCACCCTGTAATCCCACTGCCGCTCTATCACAACTTCGCACTTGTCTTTTTTGACGAGTTCGTAGCTTGGTGCGGAGAATGGCAAAACTCACTT